AGTAACAGGAGAGACTTAGTAGTAACCAAAGGCAGAATAGCACTAACTTATGTAATAACTTGAAACTCACCTTGGTTTCTAAAATGTATATGTGCTTATTTTAGGACAACAAACACAGTGGCTATTTATTCTTTACACACACCCTATTATGGTCAAAATAAACATCTGAAATCCCTGTATTTTAAAAAGTCCATTTCACAGATAGGATGTTACAGACTAATCCCAATGAAGTCTTTTCAGACATCAGGATTTCTGCAGTAAATTACTCAACACTTACGTCTAAAATAACATATTCTTGACTTCTGAGCATTCTCTGACAATGCCTTAAAAACAAAACAAAACAAAAAAAAAAAGGGAGCACTACTGATTTTCTTAGCTTTCGCACATCACAACTCTTTCTAACATGTTCCTCAATGCTGATTGAAAACAGATCCTAGATACAAAAAAGACATACAAGTTAGAGCAGGTAAGCTAAAAATCAATTAAAGAATATCAAACTGCTTACTTCACACAAACATTAGAAAACCCCTGTATTTTTGTTTTTCATAGTGATAGTATCATCATGGGAAATCTTATCAAGATCAACTGCTCCTGTCACTGGGTACAGTCCTCCTTTGACAAACATATGGCAGCTCAATCTAGTCATGATAGATCAGTATCCCTGGAGTTAGGTAGAAGAAAATGAGTCATGCCCAAGTTGTGTAGGACCAGGGAGCCAGAATCTGGTAGGAGGTCCTCAGAAAAGCAGAGCTGTCTTCAGAAAGCTTATAGCTGAAAAGGGCAACACAAAAACCTGCTGAGGAAGGGATGACACAGAGTTCAAATGTTTCAGGGAGACAGGGGTTTTAAGAAAGGGTCCACTACAGATGACTACTGTAAGACGAGAACAAAATACCAGCTAACTAACCTTGCTAAATCACAACAGTAAGACCAAATCTTCAGAAGAGGTGAAGCTGATGGTCAAGGAAAAAAGCTCACAGGACACCAGAAGGTGCAGAATGCACTAGCAGAAGCACAGAAGAGTTACAGTCAAAACACTGGAAGGTTGTAAGACAAAAATACTCAACTATGGGCAAAGGAAGTTACAAGTGCTGATATCTTAACTCTGTGTGGGAGTCCAATGCCACTCAGCTATTTAAAGGCCAAGAATTTTCCTGGTTAATTGTTTTTTAATATTTGCTTCAAAACCCTCTGCAAATCCAGCCACCTCCAGCTTTTTTAGCTATATGCCATAGTTACGACAAGTCAATTGCTGACTGAGCTATCCAAACACAGATCTCTCCTATTTCTCCTATTCTTTATCACTAAAAATAAAGAATATGATAAGAAACTAAAAACTTAATTAAACTGAGAAACTAATTAGATTTCCAAGACAGGTGACTGTATTGAGATGCTATCAAAAAGTAAAGGATAGCTTGAAGTCATCATCCTTTAGAGGAGAGAGGACTTGAAATTTCTGTCCTCTCAACAGAAATGGTAAGACCAGGTCATGATAAGTTTAACTAGAGACAAACAAACAGAAGTAATGGAATTAAAAATATCCCAAACCTGTAATGTTGAGTTTTCATCACTAGCAAAATCTACTAGCCGTAAAAAGCAGTTTACTAAGGAAGCAGCAGAAATCTCACAGCTCACAAACTTTTAAGACCAGTGCATGCCAAAATAATCATGCAAAAGCATTTTGCTATGTGACCAAATTCATCATCCTCTTTATATTAGTCCACCACACATGAAGTCTAACACACAACCACCAAATTGCAAATGTATTATTCAAGCCTCAAAAGGTCACTGTCACAGTTTCAGTCACCTTAGTGATACAATTCTATGGGCAGTTCTGTTCAGACCATCACTTGGTGCCATCACAGGAAGCAGACCATCCTTGTTCACCCCTGTTGACCGCCACTCACACGGTCCTCCCTCTTCTTTGCACTGGTGTTAGTGCTTAAAGCAAGTCAGGATAAGAAATTCATAATTTTTCCAGTTGCCTGTGGTTTTTTCACATCCAAGCAAGTTAAAGCAACAGACAGCGCTCATCGGCACTAGGGGCAACCCAGGTACAAAGCAGAAAGGGAGCATGAACTCCTTCCCTCCTCGTGGGTTTCGAGTAGTGGGATTAGCATGCCTACTCCTACTAATTCTCTTGTGCTAACAATATAGCTTGCATAGCCAGCTGGGGTCAACTCCAGAGAAAAAAGCCACACTTCAACAGTCACCCACATGAGAATGGCTCAAGCCAATTGTAACACTGCAGCTAAAAACACGTTTTCCAGAAACCTTTGCTTCTCAAATGCCAAAGTCTGATTAATTTGAAGAGCTCAGAGTGTTAAGATGATGGCTAATTCCAGAATACAAACTCAATTAAAAGAAAAATCTTTGAATTACTTTAAACAAAAGGTTATGTTGTGCTGTGCATTGTTTCTTCAGTAAATACAATGTAGTGCTGTATTAAAAACTGATCTAGCTCAATATTATAAGACATAATTTGAGAGAAATTTATTAGCTAAATACAGGTCCAGGTTCTCTGTCTCACCTCAAAGGCAGTAAATTAATCCACAATCATGGATTAACTTTAAACAAGAAAAGAATCCAGAATTATCCAAAATTATCCAGAATTACAAAGCAACTTAAAAGTCAATGAATACACAGCATGCAAAAACCCAGTGTCATCTGCAGGCTCAGAACAGAAGGTTCCTTAAAACTTTCTACCAAATTAACTAGGGAACAAGCAGAGCCAGCGAGAGTAGGGAAACAGCCTCATGGTGTTCCATCCAGTGGAGACAGTTTTGTTGATCCGATTTTCATAACCACAACTAAACACCTTCAAGCACAGTGTCAGATGTTACCTATTTAGCTGTCATTTAAAAATACTGTTAAAAAGGCACGTATACACAGGCAAAACAACAGTAATGATAATCTATATAAACAATTAAATAAATCCTTGAATACCTGAGGAAATATGTCAAAAATAGAATCTTGGGCTCTTCCCTAGTCCTAAAATTCATTTTACATCTCTTTTCTGTCAAGTGTTTAGATTATCTTTGCCAGCTTCTGCTCTAACCCACTAATAACCTCTGATAATGGGAACTTGTTTAAAAATCTATGTAATTTGACTATTATAGGTAAAAACTTTCCAGCCTATATTTAATCTAAATCTCACCCACTAAAATTTACTTCCTCTTAATCTACATCAGAACCACAAAAAAAAAAAAAGAAAAAAAGTTTAAAAAGAAAACAGTGCTTGTGTGAACTATTTCTTGCATACATACATACCCATCCGACAGCCTTTTCCACCACACCAAAATAATGCAATACTTCGACAAAAAAAAGAAATTATTCATGGGTTTGGAGCCTCTCAATCCACTCTGTACTTTTTGGGTTGTTTAATACTCAAGACTAAACACAAAATTGCAATCAAAAAGAAGAAATAAAAGCCTTCTGTAACTTAAACTGATTCCACATATCCAAGGATAACATCCACTTTTGCCATCTACATGTTGCTCACAGACCAATTTGTGACTAGGACTCCTGAATTATTTCCTACACCTCTGCTTCCCAAACATCTGTATTTGAGCATCCTACAGCCTCTTCCTAGTGTGGCATTTTGTACATAGCAGCTTTTTAACTTTTGGGTTGTACTTCCCAAACCTGTTAAAATTATTGAATTAAAAGTTTATTCTATTCTTCTCCAGACAAGTGCTGGCATTCCCTCCTAACTCAATGGCACATCTGCAAGTTTTAACTTTCAAGAAAATGACAGACAATATAACTAAAATCACCTCCAGAACAAGTCATCTGGTTTTCTCCCAACCTTCAAGAGATCTTCCAGCTTTGCAAAAAGTAATTTAAAGCTATTTGGGGATTAGTTACTTGACAGGCAAACTTATATGACCAACTGAAATACCATATTGATCAACCAGATGAACACAGAACTACATTGAAACCTCCTAAAGTTTAAAACTGATTCTAAGATGGCTTTTAACCATATTTATTTTCCAGACCAAAATGTTATGTAATACAATAAGCCCACATATAACATGTTAGATTTCTCAAATAATTGTATTTCTTCACTAGAGAAGAAGGATTGTATTTCTTCACTGCTGAGAGGGAGGGGGCATGGCTGACAGGCATCTCAGTATTTTAGTCCATAAAATATAAAATAAAAAATTACTTTTTTCCATACAGACACATCAAAATTGATTAAGTATGAAATGTAGAAAGCGTCAGCACTATACATAGTAAGAAACATTTAATACCACCTACAACCAGACTAATAACGATTAAAAAAAAAAAAACCAACAAAAGAGAGTGAGTTGTTCCAATACAGCATTTTCACAGCACCCTTGGGAGATACAACTGCTGCTTCACTGACTGCGGATGTTCCAACTTCCTTAGTTTATACAGCAAGCCAACAGATTGGACAATTCAGATTTCAGAAATGTCATGTCCTCAAACAAGACTGCTAGATCACGTAGCCTTGCATCTCCATCTCAGAGTTATTTCGTGGATACTGCTGAAGTTTCATTAGTTATAATTAAAATTCATGTTTTTAAGGTGTTAGGCTGGGAAGAAATCCATGCATGTCCCATCCACTGAAGTTCAGTAATTTTAGCTCAGGGTGTCAATACTACTCCAAATAACATCAGATAAGATGATAAGAAACCACACTACTGTGATTATGAAAGGGTACGGGTTATTCTTTTTCTTCCACCTTCCATGTTCCTCCTTCCAATTACAGAGCTTTTTAAAAAGCACATTACGAGATATGACAAACTCCTACAGCACTTCCCTGCATGCAAATCCCATTCTCCTAAGTGAACTGTCTGAAAAACTGTGAAGCTTCCTACTACTCATTACAAGACAGATTCAGAATGCGTATAAACAATTCAAAACCATCAAAGCCTGCTGAAATTAGATTATTTTAAACGTTTTCAGCCCAACTGCTGGTTTTAACTGCAGGCATTACCATTTGCCCTAAAGTACTTCAGTATGAACATACACACTTTTCTTAACAGAATTAAGTGAAGGCTGGAATGCTTTCCACACTTTCCTGGAGAACTGAACGCCCCTGAGGGCAGGGATGGACATCTCTGCCTGTGCAGCGCGGGGCTGCGCTCCGATACCGCGGGACCCGCGAGGTGCCGGGGCGGGTCCCACCGCGCCGGCCCCGGGCCCCGCAGCCGCGCTCGGCGCTCACACACAGACCCCGCACGGGCGGCACCGCGGCAGCCAACGCGGAAGCGCAGGCTCCGGCTCCCAACAATATCGCTATTCAACAGGACCCGGCACACATCCTGCGGCGGGCTCCTTCCCGGGAAGGGCCGCGTCGGGCAGTACCGCAGTGCCGCCGCCGCCGCAGCCGGACCCCCTGCAGCCCGGCCCGGCGCCCTCTGCAGAGCCGCACCGCGGCTGCCCCGCGGCGAAAGGGGGCGGCTCGGAGACGTTCGGGAGCGCCACGGACACAGCGGGAAAGGCTCCCTCCCCTCGCCGGCAGCCCAGTGGGACCCGCGGGGCCGTTACCTGTCGCCGGCTCCGCCGCAGAGGCGGCGGCACCTCCCCGTCCTCCCCGCCGGCCGCCGCCGCCGGCCGCAGCCTCCAGGTCGCAGCCCGCGCACGCGGCGGCGCCGGGCAGGAGCAGCCCCGGCAGGAGCAGCGCCAGCAGGAGCAGCCCCGGCAGGAGCAGCCAGGTCGGCACCGGCCGCACGCCGGGCGCTTGGAGCGCGCTCATCGGTGCCGCGCTGCAGCGGAGCAAAGGCAGGAACACAAGCACGGAGGGAGGGAAGGAAGGAAGGAAGGAAGGAAGGAAGGGGCAGGAGCTCCGGCTGCGCCGCTGCCGCCCCGGCGGCTCGAACCCGCTCCGCGCCGGCCCCGCCACCACCCGCCGCTTCCGGCGGCCCCCGCGCCGCCGGGCGACACGTCACCGCGCCGTGACGTCACCGGCAGGGGGCGGTGGGTGGAGCGCGGGTCTGGTCCCAGTGCCGGCTCCCGTCCCGGTCCCAGTCTCGACCCCGATCCTCAGCCCCGGGCAGACCGGACCGGCGCGCCCGGAGTGTGGCAAGACGCGGCCGTGCCGGCGGGCGGTGGTAAAGTTGTGTCCGGTTGCGGGAGAAGCGGCCCCGCCCCCCCCCCCCCCCGCGGAGGGGCCGCTCTCCCGGGCCGCTGAACCCCTCAGAGCAAACCGGGTGCTTGGCCGAATTCAGGAAAGGCACAACGGGAAAACAAAGCATTTTGGGCTACAGCGCAAAACCGAGACTTCGGACTTTGTTAAATTGCTCTTTTTACGCCGCCGGTCAGGCTCCTGAGAGGAGCGTTCTGAACGGGAAGTACGAAAGGAGTTTCGGTGTGTGCTGCAGCACGCTCGAAACAATAACAAAACGAAAAAAAAGAGGTGTTTCAAATCTGATCCGACAAACTGAAATCAACAAAACTAAGTCTTCACAGAGATTAAACCCCGATTTCATTGTGATTAACCCCTGATTTCATTGTGAAAAAAAAGGCTTTTGCTTAAGTCACTGAATCCATCAAGTCACTGAATGGGAATAAAATCTATTTCTCCTGTTGAAACCTGTGGGACTTTCCACCATTCTGTTTAGAGCCACTTAACGAGAATAACATAGCCTTTAAAGATGAAATTCAATCTAATATCTTAGGTACACAATACATGAGAAAATAATGCAGCACGGATGCCAAAAGCTATATAAACATTACATTTCCTATTAACTGTCGCAATTACCTAAGAAATAACCGAAGGGGATTGAAAGGGTCTTGAGAAAAGCCTTTGCAGACTGCATAGACCCTAAGCAGACAGGAACATGAAATGGAACGGCACAAGGTACTTCTGCAGGTCAGCAAAATCTGTGAAGCTAGCTGTGAAATCCTATAATAGTATTAAATGCAGCGGGAAACAGTTTCTCTAGCAACATAGTTGGTGTGCATACTCCATCCCAGCTGAACCATATTTTTATGGGAAAAAAAATACCAAAACTTAAAATACTCGTAAATCATATGAAGATTTGGAAAATGTGTCTAAACCTAATGAGTTGTGTTTGAATTGTGAAGTCTGTGCATAGCCTTATTATTTCTGTTGGTTAATACAACAGCCTTTAGAGACCAACAGTATCTGAGCAGATCTTGTGCAAAGAGAACAATGTAAAGCCTGTATCTTAAGAAAACTTGTTCAGTGTTGTTTAACTTTAGGGAGGGGAGCTGGAGCAGAGTAAATTTCCCAGCTGGAAATGAAGAAACCAGCTGTTAACTTAATTAATTAGTTAATTTTAAAATACAAAGAGAGAGGTATGCATAAAGGGTACATGAAGAGGCAAATTTCCTGGAGTGTGAACTATTTTAGCTGACAGCCACTGCAGTCAAAGGATATGGACTTCATGAGTCCTATGGAGAAAAACCATGCATTAGAATAGCTGTGAGATGGGGGAATTAATGGAGAGCACTTCAATGAAAATGCCCTGGGCCTGAAATAGAAAATTATCCTTGTTAAAAATCCTCTTTCAATATCGGTTCATTTTCACCTCTTGCTTTCAACTACAACCCAAACCGGGAAGCATTAAAAGGATTGTTTTCAAGCAATGCCTGTGTTCTGGAGCTGGAGGAAGGTTATTCTAGCAGAAGATCTCACAGGGAGAAGCATATTAGCTGGAAACACCTCATGATGCACTGCCACTTCATATTGTGCAGAATCAGCTGCATGAGCTCAGAATCAAGGAAGGGCTTCAGCCTAACCCGTTAATCCACAGTAACCTAATCAACTTCTGGTTTCAATATGAGGACACAAATTCTGCTGAGTGCCCTATAAGGCTTGATCACAGAATCAGAGAAAAATATATGACCTTTTGAGTTCATCTGATATAACCCCCCTACTCAGGCCTGAGGAATACCACTCATAACCACACGCCAGTTTCATTTTGGACTGTTGATGGCTACTTTTCAAGTAGAGTGGTTCAGACTGTTTTCCACCTTCCTCATCCACTTACCCAGTCCCTACAGGACTACAAAGATGCTCTGAATAACATGGCAAAAACCTTGCTAAAAATAACATGTGCCACTCTTATCCCCTCAACCATAGAGCCAATCATCTCATGACAGAAGTCAATCGTGTTGGTAGAACTGTACTTGTTTTTCTGTATTGACTTCTCTTTCATCATCCCAGAAGTGGCTTACAGAAAGATTTGCTCCATTATCTCCTCTAAGAGAGATGCTAGGTAAGGATGACTGTTCTGTAGTTTCCTGCACTTTGCTTTGATGATAGATGTGACATTTGCTTTTTTTCCCAGTAACTGGAAATCCCATCTGATTGCCACAGCCTTTCAAAGGTGATAGGAAGCAGCCTAATGATATTACTCATCTTCCTCAGCACCTTTACAAGTACCTTCACAAGCACCTTCTGTCCAGTCCTAAGGAATTGCAAACATCTAATTTGCTAGAGTGTCCCCAGTTCAACCTTCCTCTACAGTTAGTAGTCGTCTCCTGCTCCAGACTTTGCCAAATAGAGCTCTGTGAGGCCTGAGGGCTGACCTTGCTAGTAAAGAACAAAGGAAAGAGGGCTTTGAGTATGTCAGCCTTTTCACGGTCCTTCATTGCTAGGTCACCTGCCCAGTCATCAGCAGAGCCTGTGGTTCTTATGGTTGCTTGCTTGTAATGAGACTGGTTTGATGGTTTTCTCTGCCTCTGGGTGTAGACAGCTGTGATAGAAATGCTGGCATTGGTGTGAATGGAGTATGAATGGTAATATCTGCGTGTGGGGGCACTGGATGGAGCACACAACAGGGAGAGGGCTCTCAGCGTGGACTATGCTACTGGGATCCCGATTAGCAGGTCATCACCCAGTACATCTTTGGGAGTTTCACAAGACACCCCTTTCTGGAGAAAAAGAGCAATGAAGAAACCCTGATGACTCACCAAGGTGTGACAGGATGGGGACACTGATCACTATCAGCTGCTAAAGGCTACCAAGAGGCATATTCAAAATCTGTGCATGGTTGCCAGCCTAAGAAGAACCCAGAAGTCATGAGGAGATCTTCACAGCCAGTGTCACTTCCCTCCCATGTAATTGCAATGGATGCTGGACCTAACAGCATCTGGACATAGACATGGCTGTGGCACATGGGCAGCCTGGTCACCACTGCTGTGATGCTGTACAGGCTCATGGAAGCCCATGTCCTGGTCTGCTTTAAATACATCCAACTTCGCTGCAGAAAGGTCTGGCACTGGCCTGTGCAACATTGTTGATAGAGTGTTGCAACAGTATTTCCCACAAGTGGGTATGTTTATCTTTTGCAGGAAGAAAACTGGTCTCAATATCTAAGAATTCGGCCATTTATGTTATTTTCTGTCATGAATCCTGCTCAGTATTAATGGACTCCTACAGTCTTGGTTGAATTTTCTGAGTGTACTTTGCTGTATGCATAACATGAGAGACTTTTTTTGAGTCCTGTCCTCCATCCTTCCATTGACCTTTGGAGCAAAAACCTTTTTTTCTTTTCATTAGTGTGTATTTTACTGCTTTGAGTTGCCATTTCTGTCAGCAATCTTATCATTCACCTAGCCTTAATCACCACATTGATTTATCTGAACAGAAAAAGGGAGAGGAAACAATCTTCAGAGTTGTTTAATGCCCATAGTGCTTTACAATATATACATTCAGCCATTCCTAAAATAACCCTGAAGCAGGTTTGAATGGTAGAATAAAGGGAAAAAATGCTCTTGCTGCTGTTTGGTGCTATTTACAATATCTCTAAAGTACAAGCTGTGAATCCTCTGGGTAGATGTGAGAACTAATGAGCAAAAATATAAACCAGGCTGATAATAATAATAAGAGGAGAAAGAAACCTTGTTGGCAAAACAGAAACAAAGCGCAAGCTGAAAAAAATGATGAAAGGTCACATTACAGAAAGGAAGATTCAGATAATGAAATTTATTTATTAAAAAACAATGCAAATACAAACTGACAAACTTCAAATTACGATAAGCGATGGGCACTAGATTACTGGTAAATTGTCCAATAAACATTTAAATCTACAAATTATGTGAAAAGAAGCATTAATTTTGAACAGGCTTGAGAGTAAAATTCAAATGTC